TGGTCCCATTTCTAGGGATCTTTGGAATTTCACATTTCACAGCTGGAGTGGAAGATTGAGAATTGAATAATTCTTGCATTTATATTAAAATCTATTACCCAGGAATATTCTCGATGCCTGTGAAAAAATGTTTCTTTAATCTTCATTAATAAGAAATATAATTTAAATGATGTTGAAAAGACTTAAATGTGAGATTATTAATCAATTTGGATATCCATTAGAAAAGTAAGTGCTTCGGCTGATAGTAATAAATTTGCATGCAAAATATGTATTTCTATGTGATTTACAGATTTAGAACTCCTTAGGCACTAAAGTTTGAAGTTGAGTTATAATCCAAATCTCTAATGTCATGAAAATCTTTGTTGAAGAATATGCAGACTCCTGAATGGTGTGAGTCACATTGATGGATTGATATATTAAGCATCAAAGTGTCAGGATCTGATTTCTCACACTGGGATTTCTTCCCTTCAGAATACTGCCTGGCATGTCACCCGCTGCATCGTTCTCTTTTTCTTCCCCCTTCCTAATTTTATTTTGGCTCTCTGTATTGTGTTTTCCATTTCTTGCTTATTGTTTTTTCTTTACTGTTTCAAGCAATCTTTGTCTTTCATGTTTTATTTCACTCTCTTCGTGCTGTCTCATTCTCTCCACTGAATTCTCAGATGCTGCTAAAATCCTGACGATTACAGATTGACCTATGATGTGACATCTCTGTTCACCTTCCAAGAGCAGAATCATGTTAGAATTAAAATGTACTTAATATACAGAACGGTTCATTATTGAACGTAATTACAAACTTAAACTAGAGTCTTAAATTTGAAAACAGCACAAAAAGAAATAGCTTGGTGTGAATGAAAACACTGTAATAAATGGGTTATTGCTTTGTTAAGGCAATGAAGCAGGCAAAAGTGACTTCACATAAATATGTTAAGGGATTTGTAATAATTCAATGCAATTTCAGATTTCAATTTATTCATGGCAATGATATTGTTCTTACCAGATTGACACTTTGGTCCATAGAATCCTTCATAACATTGACATGTATAATTTCCAATAGTTTCCACACATTGTCCATGACCACTGCATGAATTTGACTTGCAAGAAGCTGGTTAGAGAAAACAATACAAACCCATGTACATTGCAGCAAACATGGTGGCAAGCACTCAAAATTCAACAGGGACTCATTTTACAATCATCTTTGGCTGTCAATGAGAACTCACACCAGAGGAGAACAAACTATTCAGTTTGGGTCTGCATTGCCTTGACTTAATTCCAAATTCTGTTTCCTTCTCCTGGGGCTGGAGTTTGCAACCTCCTGCCAGATGTGCTTTCATGGCAGGAGACACATTAAATATTTCAGGTGTCCAGCCCACCTCAGTCCCACCCATCTCCAGTTAGTTTTTTCATTCATTTTGTCAGATGCGGGCATCATTGACTGACCAGCACTTATTGCCCATCCCTAGTTGCCCTTGAGAAGGTGGTGGTGAGCTGCTTTCTCGAACCACGGCAGTCCACATGCTGTGAGTTAACCCTAATGCCATTAGGGTGGGAATTCCAGGATTTCAACCCAACAACAGCAAAGGAATGGCACTATGTTTCCAAATGAGAACTGTGAGTGGCTTAGAGGGGAACTTGGAGATGGTGGCATTCCCATGTAACTGCTTCACATAACCTTCTAGATAGGAGTATTTGAAGGTCTGAAAGATGCCATCTGAAGATCTTTGGTGAATTTCTGCAGTGCGTCTTGTAGATAGTACACACTGCTGCTACTGAGAATTGGTGCTGGAGGGAGTGAATGTTTGTGCATGTGGTACCAATCAAGTAGGCTGCTTTGTCCTGGATGGTGTCAAGCTTCTTGAGTGTCATTGGAGCAGCACCCATCCCGGCAAGTGGGGAGTATTCCATCACACTCTTGACTTGTGCCTTGTAGATGGTGGACAGGCTCTGGGGGTGTCAAGGGGTGAGTAACTCCCTGCAGTATTCTTAGCCTCTGACCTGCTCTTGTAGCCACAATATTTATGTGGTGAGTCCAGTTGAGTTTTTGGTCAATGATAACCTCTAGGATGTTGATGGTGGGTGATTCAGTGATGATGACACTATTGAAAGTCAAGAGGGTGTGATTAGATTGTCTGTTATTGGTGATGGTCATAGCCTGGCATTTGCGTGGCGTGAATGTTACTTGCCACTTGTGAGCACAAGGCTGAATATTGTCCAAATCTCGTTGCATTTGAACATGAACTGTGTCAGTATCTCCTCCCATGAAAGTATATCCGGCAGGAAGCTGTAAACCCCAGCCCAAGGAGAAGGAAACAGAGTTTAGAAACAGATCAATATAGAATAATTGTTGGTCCAACCTGGATAATAAACAACGGTAGAAATTCTTACTTACTATTTCACTTGTAGAGAAGTCCTTGCTGTCTGGTAGTACACATTAGAAAGTTGAGTCATGAACGGTGCTGAATCTTGTTTAATCATCGACAAACATCCCAATTTCTGACCTTATGATGGAGGGAAGGTTATTGATGAAACAGCTGAAGATATTTGGGCCTAGGACACTATCCTGAGGAACTCCTGCAGACATGTCCTGGAGCTAAGCTGACTGGCCTCCAACAACCATGACCACCTTCCTATGTGCCAGCTATGACTCCAACCATCAGTGCATTTGCCCCCTTGTATCCATTGATTCCAGTTTTGATAGGGCTTCTTGATGCCACACTCAGTCAAATGCAGCTTTGATGTCAAGGGCTGTCACTCTGACCTCACCTCTGGAATTCAGCTCTTTTGTCCATGTTTGAACCAAGGCTGTAATGAGGTCAGGAGCTGAGTGGCCCTGGCAGAACCCAAACTGGGCATCACCGAGCAGGTTATTGCTGAGCAGGTGCTGCTTGATAGCACTGTTAATGACACCTTCCATCACTTTACTGATGATCGAGAGGAGACTGATGGGGCGGTAATTGGCCGGGTTGGATTTGTCTTGCTTTTTATGTACAAGACATACTTATGCAATTTTTTATATTGTTGGGTAGATGCCAGTGTTGTAACTGTATTGGATCAGCTTGGCTAGAGGAACAGCAAGTTATGGAGCACAAACCTTCAGTACTATTGCTGGAATGTTGCCAGACCCTGTAGCTTTTGCAGTATCCAGTGTCTCCAACCATTTCATAATATCATGTGGTGTGAATTGAATTGTCTGAATACAGGTATCCGTAATGCTGGGGACCATGGAGGGAGGTTGAGGTGGAGCATGCACTTGGCATTTCTGGCTGAAGATTGCTGCCAATGCTTCAGCCTTATTTTTTGCAATAATGTGCTGGGCTCTTCCAACATTGAGGATGGTGATATTTGTGGAGCATTCTCCACCAGTGAGTTGTTTAATTGTCCACTACCATTCATGGCTGGATGTGGCAGGACCACAGAACTTAGGTCTGATCTGTTAGTTGTGGGTTTGCTTAGCTCTGTCTATCACTTGCTGCTTATGCTCTTTAGCATGCAAGTAGTCTATAATACAACATGGGTAAGTCCCCACAAGGCCATGCACCCTTAGACCTATTGAAACCCTTAACTGCCTGATTAATTAGCAATTAACAGTCTTGAGCTACCCTGCCCAGTACCATAAAAAGCAGGGCAGTGTCAGAGAAGCCAGACTGCATACGGTATTTTTGAAAGGATTTCTTTGAAAATATGGGAAGACAGAAGATCACATCAGTCCAAGAATACCCTGTGTGCATCAGGGCCTGTGCCCCCAAGAGGTTACCACATGTCTTCATTCCTCCCTGCCTGCAGTCCAAAACATGACACCCCTCAACCTTTTCTCCCCTCTTTCCTCGACCCTCTGATGTATCCCTGTTCTAAAAGCTGGACATTTAGCAGCATCTATTATGGAGTCCCATTGTTCTGGGACTGCTCAAACTGCCAGCCAATCAGTTAGAATGGCAGCTGTTCAAAGGTGAGGCCTCCTTGTCCTCTCTGTGGAGCACAATTCTGAGCCTCAGGCTGTTTTGTCCACCCAGTGTGCTATTGCTGTGATGTTAACTTTTTGTAAGTCAATCCACCCTGAACCAATGTTGCTCCTGGTGGTGGGGCGGTAAGTATTCCACCTTCCCATTAAATCCAGTCTCCTAATTCTAAAGTTTTTCACGCTATTGCCTGCGTATCCTCACTTTACCAATAGGCCTAATATATTCATGTGTATTTTGAAACATTTTCCCAAAGAAAGATCATTCTTTAAGTAAAGAAGTTTCTCTCACTTCACTCATGATTCAATGTCTACTTGGACACAGGAATGTTCAATTCCATGGTTGTGTTTAGTAGGTGATCATAGCCAAGAAATTAGCGATACTTTAATTGGTCTCAATCAACCTTTAGATAGATTGGGAACATCACTCTGGCAGTGGCTAATTTTTCAATGTGCCCACAGGAGAGGAGCCAGGAAAATTTTGGCAGTGTCCTTTCCATCAATGCTTACTGGATAGGACCAACCAACCATGCACCTCACCAAAATGAGGTCTTTTAGTGGCCAACAAATGGTCAGAACGGGCTGCCTCACATTTGCTGCAGTGTTCAGGCTGGTGGGAGGAGCTCAGGGACAGGGGATTGCTGGGACAGGAGCTGGCAGGTTCGCTCTTCCTCGCCTTGGGTGGCGAGGTGATTCTGCTGTCAGAGAGTTATCTCCTTTCCACTTTCCCATGTCTGGAGCCAAGCTCTCACCTGTTTGGTCTGAACTCCATCCCCCACAATCCCTGCCCTTTTCAGAGTTGTAGTATAATGAGTAAAATCTGGCTGTTCAAGGCTGATGAGATATAATATACATCATCGCAGGAAGTGATGCAACGTTACATGATCTTCTCTCTTGCAGACTCAAGACTATTTGAAACCACAGTCAGATTGAGTGGGTGAAAGCACAAGTGTCTGTCAGTTACTGGCATCCTTTCAACACGTGCCAGGTCCCAAGCAATCAGAAGTATGGCTGAACTGGTGCCAAAGATTTGCCATGTGTTTCTCCATGTCTGGTCTCACCTCAACTATAAGCAGGTTAGTACACTACAGTGTGCAATGCTTGGTCTAGTCAAACAAGGCATCAATGAAGAAAAAGTTATACATGAAACATTAATAAACACTCAGTGCCTACTTCAATCTACAACAAAATACCATTATTGAATGGTCTATACTTAGCATGCATGCCCAATTACAGATTACATTACTGATACTTTTATCAATGATGCAGAGACTACCAACATTGCAATTTAAAAGAAGAACTTATCAGGGACAGAGTTATTTATGGAGTGTTACACTTTCAAATATTGTCTGACTACTTGAAGTCAAGGGATGATTTAACATTTCACAGGTCAATTCAACTGATCAGACAAGCTGAGATCTGAAAATAAAATTGATCAGTGGTTCAGGATGACAAGAGAACCATTTCCTAAAAATGACCAACTCAGTGGAGCATGCTCAGTTTAGAAGCAGAGGTGGCTATACATAGGGGAGGCAGGAAAAACATTCACTTTCCACCCCAGTGAACTGTTAACATTGAGCTGGGGAGAAACACAGGTGTCAACATCCTTCTGCCAGAGAGGTGCAGTGTCATTTATTCAAGAAGAAGGGTCATTTCCAAGATAACAAGGTGCAGAGCTGGATGAACACAGCAGGCCAAGCAGCATCAGAGGAGCAGGAAGGCTGACGTTTCGGGCCTAGACCCTTCTTCAGAAATGGGGGAGGGGAAGGGGGTTCTGAAATAAATAGGGAGAGAGGGGGAGGCGGATAGAAGATGGATAGAGGAGAAGATAAGTGGAGAGGAGACAGACAGGTCAAAGAGGCGGGGATGGAGCCAGTAAAGGTGAGTGTAGGTAGGGAGTTAGGGAGGGGATAGGTCAGTCCAGGGAGGACGGACAGGTCAAGGGGGCGGGATGAGGTTAGTCGGTAGGAGATGGGGGTGCGGCTTGAGGTGGGAGGAGGGGATAGGTGGGAGGAAGAACAGGTTAGGGAGGCAGGGACAAGCTGGGCTGGTTTTGGGATGCGGTAGGGGGAGGGGAGATTTTGAAGCTTGTGAAGTCCACATTGATACCATTGGGCTGCAGGGTTCCCAAGCGGAATATGAGGTGCTGTTCCCCAAACAGCCCAGCTTGTCCCTGCCTCCCTAACCTGTCCTTCCTCCTACCTATCCCCTCCTCCCACCTCAAGCCCCCCCCCCATCTCCTACCTACTAGCCTCATCCTGCCCCCTTGACCTGTCCGTCCTCCCCGGACTGACCTATCCCCTCCCTAACTCCCCACCTACATTCACCTTTACTGGCTCCATCCCTGACTCTTTGACCTGTCTGTCTCCTCTCCACCTACCTTCTCCTCTATCCATCTCCTACCCGCCTCCCCCTCTCTCCCTACTTATTTCAGAACCCCCTTCCCCTCCCCCATTTCTGAAGAAGGGTCTAGGCCTGAAACGTCAGCTTTCCTGCTCCTCTGATGCTGCCTGGCCTGCTGTGTTCATCCAGCTCTACACCTTGTTATCTCAGATTCTCCAGCATCTGCAGTTCCTACTATCTCCGGGTCATTTCCAAACTGTGTTTCACAACAGCAGGCCTAACAGAATAAACCAACAGAGAAGCCCTCAAAAGATGGCAATTTTCATGAAACGGATAATATTAATGATGTGGAGAAGCCTTTCATTGGAGAGGTCAAGGGACCAAGCAGAAGCTACTGGAGTGCTGACCTCCTAATAAAGGAAAAGAAACATGCTCTAAGCTAGACGTAGATGTGACAGTTTCTGTTCTGATACTGAACCAGGACTTGAGAAAAGTTCTCCTTCGCAATTACAAACAAAATGGCATAGAGACATAGAACTCAATTTCTTAGAACAACTGAATGAAACCCTTCAAACATTGAGTGAAATTCTTTGAAACCGTATCTTTTCTCCAAAAGCAGGGTTGTTCACTGTTCAACAGGAAAGCCCTTTCTGACTTATATCTGATCTACACAGTAGAGAAAGACAAGAAGATCAACCTAAGAACTTCAGAGCTGAATTTCCACAGCTCTTCACAGGACTAGGAAAGCTGCAGACAGCACACATGACTCCACATCCTGAAATGAAGGCAGTAAGTCTGTTTCTTCATCTCTAATCCTACCAAAGATGAAGCAGAAACTTAACTCTATCTTGATTATTTCACCTCTGGCAGAATCAACAGGTTTTGAACAGAAATGGTGGGGCAGCACAGTGGTTCAGTGGTTAGCACTGCTGCCTCACAGCAGCAGGGACCTGGGTTCGATTCCAGCCTTGGATGACTGTCTGTGTGGAGTTTGCACATTCTCCCCATGTCTGCATGGGTTTCCTCTAGGTGCTCCAGTTTCCTCCTACAGTCCAAAGATGTGCAGGCTAGGTGAATTGGCCATGCTAAATTGCCCATAGGGATGTGTAGATTAGGTGGGTTATAGGGGGATGGGTCTTGGTGGGATGCTCTGAGGTTCAGTGTGGACTCATTGGGCCGAAGGGCCTGTTTCCACGCTGTAGGGATTCTATGATTCATGATTTGGCCGCAACCCCTAACAGGCCTCTGAGGAGCTGTGTGGATCTTACGCAGCTAAACAAAGCAGAAATTGCTAGATAATCTCAGCAGGTCTGGCAGTATTTCATGGAGAGGAATCAGATTTAACATTTTGGGTCCAGTGACCTTTCCTCAGAACTGATGATAGGTGGAAAAAGTTGTTTTTAATGCAGAAGATAGAGTTGGGGGTGGCGGGGGAGGGGGGGGGGGGTAAGGAGTAAACGATAGAGCCTAAAGAGAGGGAAGCAGTTGGACAAAGTCTGTGACAAGACAATGCACGGTGCTGACAGAAAGCACAACAAATGGTCTTTTGAGAAAATTAAAGGCATATTAATATTCGTCTGATATTTTAGCTTACTATGACTTGAGCTATGGACTATTATTGCTGCAGATGAATTTCCTCCTTGATTGGGAGCTGTAATCTTTCAGATTGATGGAAAGTGTCAGCTAATTTACCATGTATCCCATTCACTGACAGAAACTGAACAGTGACATGCTGTGAAAGCATAAGAAATATTAGCAACTTATGAAAAATCTGTGATTCATATTTTCATCTTCACTTAAAGAAGAAACTCTTAGTGACTTCAAATCTGAGGAGGTAGCAAAATGCCTCTGTGAGTATAACAATTCAGACTGAAAACGATGAGGTTCAATGCAAAGGTAGTATTTGTCCCAGGAAAACAGTAGGGGCTTTGCCACACATCCCTGTGGCAAGGTCTGAACAAGGAAATGATGTTTTCATGGAAAAAGTTGAAACGTTTACATCAATAACAACCACAACTCTACCAGCAACTGCTCAGTAACTGATTTAAATCAGGGGAGTCTGACAAGGAACATGCTCAGCTCAGAGAGCACTGTGTCGAAGGATGGCCAGCATTCCTGCCACATAAACCCATTCTCAGACACAACAGGAAACAGAGAGGATACCTCAGAATAGTGAATGAATTACCCATCTAGGATGAGACAGTGGCTATTCTGAGGGTTCTGAGTTTCCACATATTGCACCAAGGATGTCTGGCTATCGCAAAATATTAAGCTAGAGCAAGATATTCCATTGTCTGAGATTTTATTTTGTCAATTTATTTTTACCTATAAATTCCAAATCATTCTTTGTATGTATGGTCATGAACACCTATAGCTAAGATACTCGGGTAATCAGAAGCTGGATCAGACGCGTCAACAGACATTAGGTCTAATCATTCTGCAATGGATAAATGACTGGGCCTTGTGCTTTGCAGTGGGGGAATTCAGTAACTCAGCAAAATGAATGCTTCTGGCTGCATTTTGACAGATCATGGCTGTGTGGGAAAGCCTGTAGTGGAGTTGGGAACCATTTAACAGACATTTCTAACTTCAAAGCTCTAATGTGATGGTATGTGATAAGTTAAGCATGTTTCCAATGCAGTGACTGATCACAGAGCTCTGTCCTTGAAAGGTAATGGACCATTAAATTAACCAAAATTATGTTTGCGTTCACAAGCAGTGGAATACCTTACCTATTGCTCATGCTTTTCTGCATTGACAATCTGTTAGTTTGTTTGTTTGTTTGCACGACTGCGAATGGTGATATTAGGTTAACTGTTCTCAGATCTTTCAATGAGGTTTTTATGATTTTATTTATTTTGACAAAGTTATGAGCACCAAGGAAAGAGAGTGTTTATTCAAAAGGAGCTTGAATGCTTGTGTTTTACTGAGTTTTATAAGCCCTTAAAAGGGACAAAGCTTTCAAGCAGAGTATAAATGGATGATCATTTTTTTAAAACACTTACTAATATTTCAAAGACTTCCGGCTATCACAATAGGGTTCATGAATATTTGTGGTTACTGGATGAATGGATATGAAGGAGCATGGAGAAAACACAGGCAATATGAGTGGATGTTGAAGGGGCATGACAGTTTATAGGAAATATTATTGGACATGGAAGGTACATTGGAGAAATGCATGATCCTGGAGGTAACATGGGTGTGGGTGGAGTTGTGGTGGTGACATTGACTCCAGAACCCATAAAATCACATGAATCAGGTCAAACAGGATGGGATTGTTCGGATCAATCCTATCAGTCTCAGGATATGTCTACAGGAGTTCCTAAATGTATTCTCCTGGACTCAAACATCTTCAGCTGTATCATCAATGACTTTTTTTTCACCTTAAGCTCTGAAGTGGGGATGTTGACTAATGACTGCTTAATACTTTGCAACATTCGTTATTCATCAGATACTGAAGTTATGTCCGTATGCCACAAAATCTGGACAATATCCAGGCTTGGGCTGATAAGAGGCAAATAAATTTGTACAACTCAACTGCCTGGCGATGACCATCTCCAACGTGGTACAATCTAACCATATCCCTTCGATACTCAATTAAAATTAAAGCCCTCACCATCAAAATCTTGATGTTTACTATTAATCATAACCAGAAGCGGACTAGCCATTTATGTATCGTAGTTAAAAGAGCAGGTCAGAGACTAGGAACTCTGCAGCAATTAACTTGCCTCCTAACTCCCCAAAGCCTGTCCACAATCTACAAGGCACAAGTCAGGAGTGTGATGGAATACTCCCCACTTGCCTGGATGGATGCAGTTCCAACAACACTCAGGACAAAGCAGCTAACTTAATTATGCTATTCAATTCCCACATTCAACATTCACTCCCTTCGCATTGACACACAGTGGCAGGAGTGTATACCACTTACAAAGTGATTTGCAGCAACTCACTAAGACTCCTTCATCATCCAAATTCTTAAATTAACATTATTTTAAATACTAAACTTTTAAAATTAACTCTTGTTTTCATTTGCCCACCTGGGCTACCAACCCTTAAATACATTCTCTGCAGAAGTTGACAAAATTATCTTACCTAAATAGCATAAGGCTCGTTTTGATCTTTCCAGACAGGGATCATTATTCCACCTTCCTGCATCTTCTGCTCTTTTTATATAAATTTCGACACAATCTTCAGCACCAGGAGTTGGTTCACCTGCAGCCCAGTTTTCTGCCTCTTCATCCAGTGTTTTGTTAGTTCCAACCCAAGTCCAAACGTTATCAATCTTTCTTATTCCAATCCAGTAGTAAGTTGGGTTCCTCGGAATCACTGTATTCAGATGGTTAATTTCTTCATGGTTCTGAATTGCAACAAGGTCAGTGAAGAAATGTTGGCAGTAGTTTCTGGCATCGGGCCATGTCATATCTGTTGTTGAGTAGCTATAGTTCCAGCTCTGAACACCTTCCCAAACTGTTAGTTCTGAAAAGACAATCGATTTTCTTGTGATAAAACGAAGTGTTAGAAATACAAAAGTGATTTAGCAGCAGCTGTAAAGTGAAAATGCTGGTTAATATTTTGATTGCAAGCGCCTCCTTTAGAAGTAAATTTGAAAGACAATTGTTAGACAATCTCTTATCTTCCAGTTCTGAGAAAAAGGTGTGAGCTTGTACCTAGCTTTCCTCTCTGTGGAGACTCGTAAACCGGTTCATCACTTTCAACACAATCTATTTTCATTTTAGACACCCATTTATGTTTTCGGTTGTTCACTGAATGTCAGATTAAACACAGAACGGGCTAATTTCAAACAAACAAAAGCAGAAATTGCTGGAGAAACTTAACAGGTCTGGCAGCACCAGTGGAGAGAGAAACACGGTTAATGTTTCAAGTCCAGTGACCCTTCTTCAGAACTGTTAATTTCAGGACGTGGTGATGAAAAATCTCACTTTAAAACAGAACATTTCTGAGTGGCTGAGAGGGGTTTATCTTCTGTCGAGCTCATGTTAACTGAGGCCACGGGCTCTCTGACAACCTAATCTCTCCCTCACCAAAATAAAACAAAGAACTGTGGATGCTGAAGATCTGAAACAAAAAGAGAAATTGCTGGAGAAACTCAACATGTCTGGGAGCATCTGTAGAGAGAAAGCAGAGTTAACATTTCGAGTCCGTCCTCACCAACTTAGCCAGACATGTATCTCTTCTCTGCTGTTCCCATCTCCTTGTGTACAGAGCTTATCTTGTCTGAACAAGTCAAGGAAAATGAAAATTGACAGAGTGCCGATTCCAATCTGGGGCAAAACCTGTAATTTGAAGAAGATGTAAAGCTGAAGTTACTGTCATTTCTTTGTGCAATATCTAATTCCTTGCCTGTGCTGAGTTTGGTTGCAGGGGATGGTATTTAATCAATCCCCTCTGCCTTTCCCCTGATTAGATCCATGGCCTGTGGATGGCCTCAGTGTCCCACTGCCAACTGAGGTGCGTACGTGGGCAAATAATATTCAAGGCCACATCCAATTATTAAACCAGCAGTGGGCAGTTAGATCACCATGTGGGAAGGATGAATAAGCTAATTTGTGTGGGGGTCTCCCAAAGACACTTCCTCACCTTTGTGTGTGGCTGCATCAAATTGTGTGTAGATCCTCAATATGCAAATGCCAAGTGTCTCTACTTACTGAGGTTCTACCTCTCCCTGATGTTGCAAAGGATAGGTTTGGCCTCGTAGCCACAGAATGCTCCAAGTATTTGGACTGTCCTTCGTGGAGAAATTTATGAAGAAAAACACCTTTGACCACAAGTTCATCAGGCAGTGGTCAGCACGTAATGTCCTCAAGACCCTTCGGGGAAGGGAGAGGGTGGATCTTATTGAGTGGTTCCCTGTGCAGACTGCCAAAGTCATTTGGCAGAATGGCTCAGCATCTGGTGCAACAAGCACCAGGACATCGCTTAGCTGGTGGTGAGAAGGGCTTTGCCTGTGAGATACTTTATGCATGCCTGGATTCTCTGCACCACTGCACACTGCCCTTGAGGTGGCTGCAGAGGGAGACTGTCACATACCTCCTTCTGGGATGTGCCTATGTAAGTGTTTCTAAAACATTGTGTTCTTATACTGGCACTAAAGCTCTTCCAGAAAATCAGGAGAGTAAAACCTTACCAAGAAGCAGAGTGAAAAGCCAAATGTGAGCAATACCCTTCTGAATCTGATAATGTTTTTGTCGAGCACAGGATTCCATATAAATGCCCTTTTGAAAGAAAACAAAGATTATATTTTTGATATAAATAATATACGCAGTCTACACGTCAAGCTGCAGAGCCTATACACATTAGATATGGACAGTTGTATTTTTATATAAAAACTAATCCCAGCCACTTCAAGGAATTGTTTTTAATGAAATAAAAGATCTATTATATGTGTAACCATAATGACTCTGCCCCTATCTGTGTCATGACTATGGCCTCACCAATTTCCATCTCTTTTTCATAGAACAACAGGAGGTTTTGGCGCAATAGGACATAAGGGTGTGGTGTCTGTACAAACTCTTTGTTAATAAAGTGTTACATTGTCCAAAACTAGTCCAATTGCTGCACGCTCCCCTATTATTTTAATTCTCCTTTGCTTTGAGTATTTTTCCAATGTTTACAGAAAGAAAAGATGCAATGGCTCTGCCTCAAACCAAACTCGGTGCTATAACATGAGCGCCTCTTGCCTATATCAAACCATGAGAACAAACCATGGTTATTTCACCCAATTTTCTTTGGATGCAGCAACTGAGTTAGTATTTGCAAGTTACTTATCTATTCCATGAATCATATGAAGATTGTGATATTCATGATATGTTAATATGTTTGCATGTCAATCCTCTGATCACTATTTTAACGAAGATGTTAATCCATTCATGTTAAATAAACTTTCATGTCAAATCTTTGTGTGCTTAGGGTGGCACAGTGGTCAGCACTGCTACCTTATAATGCCAGAGACCTGGGTTCAATCCCAGCCTTGGGTGACTGTCTGTGTGGAGTTTGTGTGTTCTCCTTGTGTCTGTGTGGGTTTCCTTTGGGTGCTCTGGTTTCTTCCTTCACTCCAAAGATGTGCAGGTTCAGTGGATTGGCCATGCTAAATTGCCCATTGTGTCCAGGGATACCATAGTAAATGTGGGATGCTTTTCAGAGGGAGAGTGCAGACTTGACAGGCTAATCACCTCTTTCCATATGATTCATCCATATTAATATTGTGCAACACTTACAATTCATAAATAGGAACAGGTATTTTTACAGCAAGTTTAACTCATGTCCTTCGTGCAATGTAACACTTTATCAATCCATTCATTTAATCTTCTATTAAAACTTGAATGTAATTGAAACATGTTCACCACAAGCCCCCCCACCCAAACTTCAAAGTTCAATTTTAATGAGCATGGATTTTGTTTCCATGCCCTTTCTGAATGATTCAAACCCGGAACTATTCTTGTATTCTTCTCTGAATGTTTTTCCACTTTTCTAAAAGTATAATAACCATTTTTGCATGATTTCCGCATAACAGCTTATGAATGATTTGAGTTTAAATTTAATGTTTGATTGGACAACTTTCCAACAACTACCCTAACACTGCATAAATAATTAGTAAATTATAACACTACTAAACATTTCTGATTCGAATTATATACTTCCAATTCCTTTTCAAAAGTACTACAAAGCATTTCTAGCACAGAAATAGGTCATATTCCTGAACAGGTCTATGTCAATGTTTCTGCCCTATGCATACCTTACCCCACCCTTAATCATCCAACAGCATCAACACAGTTTTCTATTCCTTTCTCCTTCATGAGTTTATCAATCTTCCCCTCAAATACATATATGCTATTTGTCTCAAAAACACCTTGGCGTCTGAGTTCTATATCCTAACAATTCTCTTGTAAGGACATTTCTCTCAATTCTCGTCTGGAAGTATTTTTAATAATCCTATATGGCCCCTAGTTTCAGTCTCACCCATAAGTTAAAACATTCTATCCTATCAATCTCTTTCACAGGCTTGAAAACCTTGGGTCATCCTTCTGTCCTTCCTTTTCTTTCCTCATAGCCTTAAACTTTCAGTTCTAGTATGATATTTGTAAATATTTTTTGCATCTACCCTATGCCCCAATACCCTTTAAAGTAGAGACTCGAACTCTTCACAGTTCTGGAGGTTTGATTGAGCCAAGGATCTATACTAGTTTATCATAACTTCTCTGCTTTTCAATTCCACCCCTCCAGTAACCATATATCAATGTTTCTTGTGTTTATATCACCGTGTATTACCTTGCATTACCCAATTTGACACGTCATCTGTTCATTTGCTAACTCACACTGGAATATCTGCCTTGCTTATATAGCTTAGTATGATCTGAAGCTTTAAGATTTATGGATGGGCCATTTGCAAACATGAAGCAACATGACTTTATATAAGTAAGTTATCCAGATATTTTTGTATTGCTGTTTGTGGGACCTGCTGAAATTTCCACATTACAATAGAAACTGCATTTCAAAAATTACTTAGCTAGCTGTAAAACACTTGGAATATCCTGAGGTCATGAATGGTGCTGTATAAATTCAAGACTTCCTTTTGATGGGAATCTCAGGAGTGACAGGCACTAATTGGAAATAAATCAACATCTCCTGATTACTGTTCTTCTTTGTTCAATTCTCAGGCAACTTATGATCCAATTTTTGGATAGCTATGGATGCAAGTGTTTCAATTTTGTACCTCCTAAGTATGTCACATTATAGACTTCTCGTTCATACATCAATTACATTGTAGTTTTAATTAATCCATGGCTGTAATGTCACATCAACAATATGTTGGCACTTTTATTTTAGCTGTTGACTCTTGTATCTTGTCACCCTTTTTAGTTCCAAGTAAATCCGACAGATTGCTTTCATTATAGCTGTATCACAATAATCCAGCAACCAAGTACTCCTCTTTACTTCAGACTTTGTATAATTCTCACCTCCTTTCTAAGAAAATTAACCACTACTCAAAACAAGCAGTGGTTCTGTGAGGCAACACGATGAACCCCTTTACATTGTTAAACACCATTTTAATCTAAATATCTTTGTCATAATATTATTCACTGTGCTGTGCATTCAAACATTTCAAATTTATTTAAACCACATACACAATGTTTTCAAATGGCTAATTTCTCCTTTTTTCACTCCTCAAGATGAAATGTCCTTTTATGACAGTTCACAGACTGGTTGAGCCAACTGTGTGTTTTTTGTTAGGCATTTTAATTCTTTAAAATATTTCATTTTTTTCCCACATTTACTTCAGGTCCTGCCTTATATTTATCAGAATCTTTCAATGAAGTTCCACGAAAACAGAATAAAATTAATGTAACTTACCATTTCTGGAACTTTCCTATTTTGTTTTTGCCTTTACCCTCCCCGTTTTACTTCACTGAGATGTTTTGTTATGTGGAGAGAACTTTGCTTCCTTCTGTCAGCTGCAGTAGCTGACAGTGCAGCTCTGTGCCTATCCACAAACCAAATGCCTCAGCCCTGGCCACACCTGTGCATCTCCCCCCACTCTATTTTCTAACTAACAAACTTCCTGCAATGTCAAAAATAAAGTGTAAAATGAAAAAGTGGTCTCCCTGCAGAGATATCCATGTAAGTGCCTTCATCAGCATAGAACACCATTAAAAACTCATTTTGATGATATAGAAAAATAAGCAGTCACCATTAATCTCACTCTTCTAATTACATACAACATGTCCACTAAAACAGCCATTTCTGTAAATTGCAGTGCCAGTAAGCTGTGCATCAGTAAGATCTGGCTGATTAAAGATAGGATTGGATTTGGATAGTTTTTAGATATAAATTAAATTGTGGATTGATCAGAATATATGTTCAGTGCTTTGTTAAAGCTATTGTGAATGCTAGGAGAATGTTTCACAGAGATTCTATGACTGAAGTTTTCAAATACTTGTCTTTTTAACACAGTAGCGGTGGTACAGCATAAAGCATCTTTAAGCAGCATTTAATGAATATATAATAGTTTAACTGAGAAGTAAGCACATTTATGGTGAAAGAAAAACATCGAATAAGTGCCTTCACTGCTCAGTTCATTAAGTATAGGAGTTGGGGTGTCATCATGTTGTGGCTATACAGGACATTGGTGAGGTCACTTTTGGGATATTGCCTACAGATCTGGTCGCCCTGCTATAGGAAGGATGTTGTGAAACTTGAGAGGAAGGTACAAGCGTCACTTTAAACTTGAGAGGGTGCAGTAAAGATTTACAAGGATGTTGCCAGAACTGGAGGGCGAGCTACAGGGAGAGGCTGAATAGGCTGGAGTTTATTTCCCTAGAGCTTCGGAGACGGAGGGATGACCTTTTGAGGTTTATAAAATCATGAGGGCTGTGGATAGGGTGAATAGCCAAAATCTTTTTCCAAGGGTGGGGTGCCCAAAACAGTTTCTTGATCCAAGTCCACTATTGCATCTCGTGTTTCGCCTGCATTCAGTTCAAATGAAACATCCAAAAAGATCAAAACAACAAAGCACCATGTTTGCCCCTCAAATAATAGAAAGGAGCCATGGGAACTATCAAGACAATAGACATTAAGATCGATGATTCAGTTCCAATTGTCCACAATCATCAGCGTCTCTATTTCCATTTGAAGGTACAAGCAGGAAAGATTACATCAGACTTTGTTTTATCAATGAAACCATAAATATAACAGAAAGGTTTTAATATTTCCTAAATACTCATTATTTAAGAGCCATTGTAAACTGATTCTAAAAAGCTGAACTTATAATGGGAGGAAATCTCTCTTTTTTTAATCAAATCATTTATTCACACTAAGTATTGTAAACATAACTGGTAACAGCTTTACAAACCCACATATTGTATTATTGCTCCTCCTGTAGAGGCCACAAAACCAACGACAAACAGTACGGATTCCTCGCCCATCTGGACTGAAAGAAAGACCACAGTAACAATATTATGCTGGTATTTATAATTCTGGTGAAAACAACAGAATTTTTTATATTTAAATGATGTTGGAATATTTAACAAAAGGCCTTGAAAATGATTTGCAAACATGGTGCTCTGCTGTTTTGATCTTTTTGGATGTTTCATTTGAAACACGAAACAATGCGGGTGAAACACGAGATGCTGTAGTGGACTTGGATCAAGAAACTGACCTCTAGGTAAGGACAATAGGCAAGGATAGCAACATTTTAGAAGAAGGGGCTCATGGTCATCACGAGGCTACTATTCTGTGATAAAATGAAATCAGAAAAGGCTGGATATTCTCAGCATTTGTGGTTAGAAAAACAGAGTGAATAGGCTGAATTTTCCTAGACCCTGAACCATTTGGCCAATGGTGAGTCAGTTGGGGAAATATGTCAAACTTGAAAAAGTGTGATTCAGACATTGAGAATTGTCCAATTAAGTATCTAAGTTTTGAATAGTGAGACCGGAATCTCTCTAGCAAGGAGCAAGAGGATTATTTGCAAGCATTTTTATCTCATTAATACCTAATATCACCTCATTCACATGCAGCATCCCAGTCTCCCACTCACCAGGGAGAAGGTAGGTGGTGATAATTCCTGGTATGAAAGTCAGCGTGGGAACATGGCGGCTGTAGATCGCCTCTAGCTCCTCCAGGTTTCCACTTGGACAGCATTCCCCAAAACCTTTGGCAAGGTGGCTCAGTGGTTAGCACTGCTGCCTCACAGCACCAGGGACCCAAGTTTGATTCCAGCCTTGGGCGATTGTCTGTGTGGAGTTTGCACATTCTCCCCGCGTCTGCGTGGTTTTCTCCGGGTGCTCCGGTTTCCTCCCACAGCCCAAAGATGTGCAGGTTAGGTGGATTGGCCATGCTAAATTGCCTACAGTGTCCAGGGATATTTAGGTTAGGTGGGTTAGACATGGGGAATGGGTCTGGGTGGGATGCTCTTCGGAGGGCAGTGTGGACTTGTTGGGCCAAAGGTCCTATTTCCACACTGTAGGGATTCTATGACTCTATGATAATTCAGGGACAGAGACAGTCTATCCACACATCCCTTACCCCCAACAACCCCGACGACAAATTGGATACAAGCCAACCTCACCAGCCTCACTATAACGTATCTCTGACCCATTTAGTTTAAAACTGTCCACTTCAATGCTGCACTTTGAAATACATCAATACCTTTCATTGTAATGCTCCTGCCAGAACACTATGCCAACTGGGACACGTTGGGTGCATCTCAAGCTTCTTAGCTTCGTCTCTTAGTGCTTACTCACTTTGTATCTACTTGACTGCTGATGGCATCTCTGCCTTGCTATGCCTTTTTGTGCTTTGCTGGCTAATTCAGAATTTATAGTCCTTAAACTAATTCAACAGGGGGGTGGGAACCTGAATTGTAGCTCCAGTGTACAGGATGTTGAGAGTGATGAGGTCATAAATAAGGTTTCAAGGTTGCAGGAGTGTACCGGCAGGCAGGAAGGTGGTTTGAAGTGTGTCTACTTCAATGCCAGGAGCATCCGGAATAAGGTGGGTGAACTTGCAGCATGGGTTGGTACCTGGGACTTCGATGTTGTGGCCATTTCGGAGACATGGATAGTGCAGGGACAGGAATGGTTGTTGCAGGTTCCGGGGTTTAGATGTTTCAGTAAGATCAGGGAAGGTGGTAAAAGAGGGGGAGGTGTGGCATTGTTAGTCAAGGACAGTATTACGGTGGCAGAAAGGACGTTTGATGACAACTCGTCTACTGAGGTAGTATGGGCTGAGGTTAGAACCAGCAAAGGAGAGGTCACCCTGTTGGGAGTTTTCTATAGGCCTCCAAAAAGTTCCAGAGATGTAGAGGAAAAGATTGCAAAGATGATTCTGGATAGGAGCGAAAGTAACAGGGTAGTTGTTATGGGGGACTTTAACTTTCCAAATATTGACTGGAAACGCTATAGTTCGAGTACTTCAGATGGGTCAGTTTTTGTCCAATGTGTGCAGGAGGGTTTCCTGACACAGTATGTAGATAGGCCAACAAGAGGCGAGGCCACATTGGATTTGGTACTGAGTAATGAACCAGGCCAGGTGTTAGATTTGGAGGTAGGAGAGCACTTTGGTGATAGTGACCACAATTCGGTTACGTTTACTTTAGCGATGGAAAGGGATCGGTATATAAAGCAGGGCAAGAGTTATAGCTGGGGGAAAGGCAACTATGAGGCGATGAGGCAAGATTTAGGATGCATAGGATGGAGAAGGAAACTGCAGGGGCTGGGCACAATTGAAATGTGGAGCTTGTTCAAGAAACAGCTACTGCGTGTCCTTGAGAAGTATGTACCTGTCAGGCAGGGAGGAAGTGGTCGAGCGAGGGAACCGTGGTTTACTAAAGAAGTTGAATTTCTTGTCAAGAGGAAGAAGGAGGCTTATGTAGAGATGAGGCGTGAAGGCTCAGTGAGGGCGCTTGAGAGTTACAAGTTAGCCAGGAAGGACCTAAAGAGAGAGCTAAGAAGAGCCAGGAGGGGACATGAGAAGTCTTTAGCAGGTAGGATCAAGGAAAACCCTAAAGCTTTCTATAGGTATGTCAGGAATAAAAGAATGACTAGAGTAAGATTGGGGCCGGTCAAGGACAGTAGTGGGAAGTTGTGCGTGGAGTCCGAAGAGATAGGAGAGGCGCTAAATGAATATCTTTCGTCAGTATTCACACAGGAAAAAGACAATGTTGTCGAGGAGAATACTGAGATACAGGCTATTAGTCTAGACGGGATTGAGGTTCATAAGGAGGAGGTGTTAGCAATTCTGGAAGGTGTGAAAATAGATAAGTCCCCTGGGCCGGATGGGATTTATCCTAGGATTCTCTGGGAAGCTAGAGAGGAGATTGCAGAGCCTTTGGCTTTGATCTTTATGTCGTCATTGTCTTCAGGAATAGTGCCAGAAGACTGGAGACTAGCAAATGTTGTCCCCTTGTTCAAGAAGGGGAGTAGAGACAACCCTGGTAATTATAGACCAGTGAGCCTTACTTCGGTTGTGGGTAAAGTGTTGGAAAGAATTATAAGAGATAGGATTTATAATCATCTAGAAAGGAATAATTTGATTAGGGATAGTCAACATGGTTTTGTGAAGGGTAGGTCATGCCTCACAAACCTTATTGAGTTCTTCGAGAAGGTGACCAAACAGGTGGATGAGGGTAAAGCGGTTGATGTGGTGTATTTGGATTTCAGTAAAGCGTTTGATAAGGTTCCCCATGGTAGGCTATTGCAGAAAATACGGAGGCATGGGATTGAGGGTGATTTAGCGGTTTGGATCAGAAATTGGCTAGCTGTAAGAAGACAGAGGGTGGTGGTTGATGGGAAATGTTCATCCTGGAGTTCAGTTACTAGTGGTGTACCTCAAGGATCTGTTTTGGGGCCACTGCT